ATATATATATATATATATATATATATATGTATAACCTGATTGAACATATAAATAACACTGGTTCCTCAGAAAATTATTGTATGGCTTCAGATGAATTGCAATATACTGCACAAATAATATTATCTACATTTATGGTGCTTTTTTTGTACTTTTTGGAGTTTGTCTGCTTGTCTTTGATGTGTTTGTTTCACAGAAAGAAAAAAAATATATATATACAGGTATACTGCATACAGGTTTGGAACAACATGAGAAAATTTTCAAGTGAAATTCTTACACCCTTGTAAGAGTGAGGAATGAATAATATGAGATAGCAAAAGAGAATGGGGGAGGAGTGGGTGGATGGATGGATGCAAGATAATATTGATAAAAACACAAGACTAACGAATTCAGCACGTTTTGAGATGTCATTCTTTGTATTTTGATAATCATTGGCAGTGATTTACAGTGATGCTAGTGGTAACAGGTGGACATTGAGCATATTACTTTTAGTTTTAGAAGCTTAAAATGTTAGTACAGCGTTCAAGCCACAAAAGTTGTGGATGGATCACATCATAAATTGCTTTGGTCAAATTCTCGGTAGCAATATGGCTTTTGTATTCAAATTAATGTGCCTAAAAGCTTTGGCATTCTGTGAAATTTAACTGTTTGCACTTTCATTTTGATCTGGTCTTCCATTTGAGGCAGGTTTATGAATGACATGTTTTTTTTTTTAGTAACTCAAACAGCTTTGGTTACCATTGACTTTCACTGTATGGACAAACAAAACACTGAGACAATTCTCAAAATACCTTTTTTTGTGTTCCACAAAAGAAAGAAAGTCATACAGGTTTGGAATGACATGAGGGTGCGTAATTGATGACAGAATTTTCATTTTTGGGTGAACTATCCCTTTAAATGCTGTTAATTCCATAAGCTCATCATCACAGGACAGTGAACACAAATGTGCCATTCAAATTAGTATTTTTAAAAAGAAATCGTAATTCTTTAACAAAGTGGTTTTCACTGTAAGATTATTAGATTACATTTTACCAAAAAAAGAAAAAAAAACTATTTTTGTACTTCAAAATTTCATATTTAATTCAATGTGTTACTTGCAGTTTCTTTGTAATTGTTTGTGAAATTCACTAGCAATATCTGAGTGAAATTTGAAAGGAAATACTACACCATTTTTTTTTCTCTGCGCAATGGCATGGCTAAATACAACCAATAAGATGCAGCTAATCAAGTTAGTGTGCATAGTTAGGATAGAAAACTAATTAGGCTAATTTTAGGCTGGGCATCAGTATTTTGGCACAAAATCACTCAGTAGAATTTAACCTAATTAGATACATGTGTGAAAAAATCACTAAGGTTACATATATTATATTATATTATATTATATTAGGTGCTTTTTTTGTACTTTTTGGAGTTTGTCTGCTTGTCTTTGATGTGTTTGTTTCACAGAAAGAAAAAAAAAATATATATACAGGTATACTGCATACAGGTTTGGAACAACATGAGAAAATTTTCAAGTGAAATTCTTACACCCTTGTAAGAGATAATCTTTTTTTGAAAGAAGAGAAGTAGCATGATCTAGTCCTTCCCATGAGTACTAGGTGAAAAAGTGAGTTTTGAGAGGATTGTATTGATTAAACAAAGAAGGAGAAGGAAGATTAAGAAAACACTAATTCGTTGATTTAACTGGAAAGATAAGAACCTAGCTTGGAAACCTATTTTAAGACTTCCTAAGAACATCTTAGTCTGTGGAGCAAGAGCGCACAGGTCCTGAGAGGCTGCTTTTACTCTGATGAGTCAAGTGCTTATGTTCTGCTCTCATTGGGACCACAGGCGAGAGTTCACCTGCAAGGAGTGGCTGATGTTTTTGCGCTGTGTAAAATCTGCTTTAATGAGTGATTAAAACAGACACACAACTTTTGATTAATTTCTTAGTTTGAAAATGGCTGTTAAATGCTGTTTACTAGGTGTATCATGTTATAATATATTAGTAATCATTTAGTTTTTCCTTGAGGTCCACTTAGCCTACACATGATAATGTTCCACACACTCTATAATGTTTACAATAAAAGATGCCGTGGTTAATTTTTGTCACTGTACTAAACATGTAAATGACCCCAGTTATAATTGGCTAACTTTTTTGCATGTGAAATGAGTAACAATACTTACTTATAGGCTTCTAACATTGGGATAATATGGAAAAACCTTTCTGCCTCAGAGAAAAAAATAAGCAAATTAATTGCAACTTTATACTTTATCTTTCAATATCACTTTAAATCTCACAAGTGTCACTTTGTTTCTTGTAGTTCTGACTATATCTCACAATGTGCCTTTATATCTATCAATGTGACTAAATCTTGCAACTGTGACTTTATTTCTTGTAATTGCGACTTTATACCTCACACTTGTGCCTTTATATCATCCAGTTGTGACTTTATATTTCTCAGTGTCACTTTAAATCTTGCAGTTGTGACTTTATTTCTTGTAATTGCAACTATATACGTCACATTTGTGACTTTATCTTTCAGTGTGACTTTAAATCTCACAAGTGTGACTGTTTCTCGTAATTCTGGCTTTATATCTCAAAATATGCCTTTATATCTTGCAGTTGAGACTTCATATCTTCCTATTGTGACTTTATATCTTTCAATGTGGCGTTAAATCTTGCAAGGATGACTTTATTTCTTGTAATTGTGACTTTATATCTCTCAATGTGACTTGCAAATGCAAACTTATTTTTCTCAATGTGATGTTAAAGCTGCAGTCCGTAACTTTTTTTGGTTAAAAATGATCCGAAATCAATATTTGAGCAAGTACATATCCAGCCAGTGTTCAAAACTATCGATTGTAAAAACAAGTTAGATTGTGAATGCATGTTTACTTTTGTACAATAAACAGTTATGTACTGTGTTTGCTCACCACCTGATGTCTGGTAAGATCTGAGTCAGCGTCCTTCACAAATTCACATCAGAACAGATTCTGTGTTGGAAATGTGCAGAGTGCTCAGAGTGATGTCTGTCAGATGTTAAAGGAGCACTCCACTATTTTTGAAAATAGGCTCATTTTCCAACTCCCCTAGAGTTAAACAGTTGAGTTTTACCGTTTTCCATCCATTCAGCCGATCTCCGGGTCTGGCGGTAG